CTAGTAAACTCTTACATACTGGAGATTTGCCTAAACCGAGAAATAATTATGATTTGGATTCAACTGCAGGTATGTTACGCATTGGTACAAATAAAGTCAGTTTACAATATTAACATCGTTTTATTATCTAATAATTTAGTGACACAAATGCTCTTGTGATTCGCGGTTTATTTACGAGTTTTACTCAAGGAGTTTACGTCTCTTCCAATTAAATATATTAAATGTGTCACATGAGTTGTTAAACTTTTTTTACAGGGTAGACTGTTTGAGTATATACGTGGTAATATAGTGGTTTTTATTTAAGATTTACGATACTGAATAAAAATGCGTAACTACGTTCTGGTCAGTTTAAGCTTCATTGTTGGTTTCAGTTGGTTTCGCGTTTTCTAACATTGTCTTTATACCTCTCCCAAAACGATCCATGCGATCGCAAAATTATCTTGTCCAACTCTTCATCGTGAGCTTCATTTGACATTGGATAATAGTATTTAAAACGCAATAGCTGCTTTACGACTAGAATGCAAAAATCCTGTGGATAAGGGTTATCCCAAGCCTTCTTGAACTCTTCTAATTGAATAGAATGTCTGGCATTTCCACTGCTTATTATTATCAATAGTATCAATCTGTCGAAGATCAATAATAATGTAGCCCCTAACGATGCAAGTTTAACAATGCAAGTTTAACAATGCAAATAAAACTTGCCGGACGCAAGTGTAAAGATTGCAAAATAACATTTAATTTTCCTATCCAAACTTTTGGCTGAGTCTGAGCAAAGATTAAGTACTATATTGAAATAAGGGAGAACAAAGCAAGGGTGTACCATCATTGGGTGTGTTTGTACTGAATGATTTATTTGTTATATCGATAATATAAATAAACCATAACCACCATAAATATAAATTCCACTATCACAACAGTCCATTACATTAACATTTCACATCCATTTGATTGAATTATCATCACTAGTTTATTCACATAAAATTTGTCGGCCTAACTAAAATAAACAACCAGCCAGCCATACGGTTTGTGATCGTCTCTATTGTTTATGCCACCAATAACATCGACTGTTATTTTAGCGCTACACCTCAAATGTCTTAGCACGCATAACAGCTCAAAATTAATTATTGTGTTTCGGTCATATCAGCCCAGAGTTGAGGTAGATAATTCCAGGATGGCTCACCGATTGTTCAAGAAAACGCCCCTGAAATAAAACCACCGCATTTCGATTTGCCATTGTTAAAAGTTCTTGGCTTCCAACTATCTCAAGAACGACTCCGTAGGCCAATAATTCAGGAAAATCCCAACTGGAACCGATGCCACGTCGTCAGCTGAAAATATCTTCGTACGCCACTTACAGTCCTTATACCAAAAATTCTCTTATATACAGTATTCACTAATCGGTGACGCGCTTTGCACCCACTAAAAAAATAACTATAATAAATACAGAATAATATTCAAAAAAGCATAACAATTTATTAGTTGACTTACAATCCACCTTCAACAATTTCCAAATACCCTATTGCTCAAAAAACTAAACACTATAACCTCACCAGTATGTCCCAATATAAATTCAGAACACATCAATTTCAACCATATCATCTACCACAACGTCAATTACACGTTAACAATAACCAATCCCGAATTATAACACAACCGTCGAATATTTCCCACATAACCTCAAACATAGATATAATTTTTCAATTGATGTCTGCCGTTACTTTAACACACGTTGCCAATTCCTCAGCCACCATCCAATCTACCCACCAACCTAATGCTAACATTGATTTTACTCCCATTACAATCCCTCCATGGAGACCCTCTCAACGTTTGCGCAAACTACATGCGCACTTTCAAAACACTATTCTTTTCAACACATATGTCTACCTTGGCAGATCAGATCAACCAATCAATTTGTAACATCTTACCAGTCAACGGCAAACGGCTAAAACTACTGATTTTCAGGAAGGGATTCATAGTTAGGTTACAACAAGGTGCACGAGTAATGTACTTAAACAATTCTCTCATGGATGATGGCATATGTAATGGAACAATTGGGATCGTAATAGAAATAACGGATAAGTAGACAAACGGCATACTTTTACAACGGCGGTCAACGAGCCTCGAGAACAATTTCTATTACAAAATTTTTTCGCTTTTAACTGTTCACAAGACACAAGGCCTCACACTCCCTTGTGTATCTTTAGCACTTGACCAAAGTTTATTCTCAGCAGGACAAGCTTATGTCTCTCTAAGTAGATTCTCAACATGGGAAACATGTTCAAATTATGAGTCTACACAGAGACGCATTCAAAATGACCCCAAAGTAATAAAGAATACCAATGCTTACAACAAATTTGTCAACTCTCTATACGCTCACACGTTAATAAATATTATAATTGATTAAATATACGATATTTAAACAAACTATTATAAAAAAATATATAAACGTGCTAACTAAAATATAATACCGTTAATTTACTATTATTACGTCAAACTTACCCAACATAACTATCTACAAAATACAACGTATTGCCCTTTCTCAAGCTCTCAATTCTCAAATATTAGATTAGACATGTTAACCGCAACCATTATGTTAATCCGCATTGCATTTCGAATTACAATTTGTTTATTACAAAATAAAGACCTAGTAGAGAAACCTTCTTTCATAGTCTTTTACCAAGCACAAACTCCAACATGACAACCACGTAACCTCTACAATGTATCAAGTACTTTGTAAACGCAAAAGCTAAAATACAGTATACAACTACTACTAATCGTATACAGCAAATATTACCCAACAAAAATTGACCAGCGAAATGAATAATAATTTTACAAACAAAAAAAATGCAATACGCATATTACATAAACTCTAATTGTAACCTTGCGGAGTTATACCTTTCCCAGCGAAAAAAATAATGATACACATATTCTGTAAAAGTCAGAATAAATCAACAAAACTAAACAAACTACTATCGCATTTATTTAACTACACGCACTTTACATCCGATTAACATTACGACCGGCCGATGAAATCGGTAGCACGAGACACTTCTAGTTATGCAGTATATATAGACTTAGACTGTCTTGGTTTTTGAGCCTCTCTTTTTTTGCCATTCGTTGGCTTTGGCGACGTTCGATATGTGTGAGGAATTTGAAAATAATCAAAAATGGCAACCAATGCCATTATTTCAGTTTTATTCCAGTCAAGCTGTGTAAGCCTGACCGGATATGGGATCCGTCCGTGAAGGAATTTGGATGTATGGTGGTAAAGACCACCTATACACTTTGTGACTGTTGTGATTTCTAGATCACGCTCTTCACAGAACGTTGTTAAATGGCTTTTAAATTTTTTAATGTTGGCGAGGCGTTTCAGCGATTTATCCACTGGCGTTGGAAAATCAAGAGGCGGTTCTTGATCTGCTTTCTCTTGATTTGTTTTTTCTTTTTTTTGATTTACCTATGTGTAAAAAAAATTTGTCATAAATAAGTGTAAAAATGTCAATTAAAGCTAGACCTAACGAAAAAAAAAAATCCTTACTTGATCTTTCACGTATTCTAGCGCCGATCGTATGACAACAACTCTATAAATTTTGTCTTCAAACAGTCGTTGTTGGAGGCGTCCATAGGCGCACCTTTTACCCATGAACAGAGAAGCGGTGTGGTAAAGTTTGAAGACCATTTTTTTGAAACAAAGTGTGATAACTAATTTTTCCTTAAAATTTTTTTGTTAGAAATTTGCACAAGAGACAACGTGTTTATATATAGAAAAAATTCATACTTGCAACAATGTCATCAAGAGTGTTTTCAGTGCCGTTGTTTTCTCTAAACCAATAGAGCAATTTGCTTATCGAATATGTGACAGATTTTATTGTTAGAACTAATCAGGAAGTTAATTTGATAAAGTTCGAAACATTCTGATTGATGATTGTCTCAAAAATAAATGTACATTGTCATAACATTGAGATTATATCGGGAAGTTAATTTGAATAAAGTTCGAAATGTCTGGTTGATAATTAGATTTACAAAACCAAGGGTACAACGTTGTTTGTCATAATTATTTCGAAGGCCTAATCAGGAAAGTTAATTTGAATTTTAAAAAATAAAGTTCGAAACACCCGGTTCCTAAGAATAGATGTACAAAAGCGAAAGGTGATGTTACAACACTGTAATAATTGAGGCTTAATTTCTAATATTAAAGACGTCCGATTAGAATAAGAAATATCATTGTTCAATGAGAGACAAGTCAATACATAATTGCTCTTAAATAAATGTACAAGTCATGTATTAACTACATCATTGTCGTAAACATGACGCCCGATAAATTAATTTGTCATTGTTTAATGTAGGGATAAATGACGTGTGCAGAGAACAACAATTTACATGATCATCCTAAAAATAGATATGCAAACGAGCATTAATAGCGGTCAGTTATATAATCAGTAAAAATAATGAGTTTTTATAGTCTTGTGAAGCTTAACAGTTACAATGAGTTTGTGAATAAGCACCCCCAAGATTACCACATTTCATTACATAATAATTTTTATTTTCCGCTAATATCTTCCACTCATCCTCTCTTCTTCTCCATATGCCACACCATTGTCTAAATTATCTAAAGTATCTGTGATGCCACATTTTTTAAAAGACGTAACTATCAATTCTGCGGGAATTTTATTTACCTAATCCACCACACATTAAATCATTTGCTGGCTTCTTTAAGTTTCCTGCGTATGTTTGTGTTCTCCGGTAGCTATCCACGTTCTCCATTTCTCACGAAGCCTGTCTTTGAATGGCTTGTTAATACTTACATCCGATGGCTGTACAATAGATGTGAGCCCCCAGGAATGACCCCCAGGACAGTATTCGTCTCTCCTTCACAGATTGAGTAATATGTCCTACAAACGAATCTAATACTAATAAAGACCTCTTTTGACTCACATCTTCCGCTCGCTGTAGCCAAATTGTGTCTAGTCAAATTTCACCCATCCATCCGTTTTTTGCATTCTAACGACTAAACCTGATGGAGCCCTTTGGTATTTACTTTCCCTTGAAAATAATCATTAGTTGACGTTCCAGCTGCTAATATTTCTAGAACACAGGTTAGTCTATTTTTTTCATTTTCCGTTGTACGTATACCAACCATATCGAAAAAATAGGCGTCTTGTCCATATTAGCAATACAATTGAGTTCAAACATTGTTGTTTTTTTGTAACAAATGGATGTATTTATGGAATAAAGTTTTTTATGCAAATCTTTAGGAAGCTAGTTTTGTATGTCGGCGGAGAGATAAATTAGTATGATTCATAAAACGTTGAAACCATGGATCGGAAGCCTTGAAACTATTGACAGGTGTACAACTGTTTGCAAGCCATCGTTTTATTTGGAGTTTGACGTCATAAGGTGTAACAACTATTCCTCCTTCGCGTTGATTTAATGTCTATTTTTTTAGTAATTCTTCAGCGAGCGGATATGAGTAAAGCATCTGATTCCACTTTACGATTCGTTTGTCTTGTCTTTTTTAGGTCCTCCTCTTCGTTCGCCATCTACTGATTTGTGTATTGTCAACAGCAAACAGTCGTGCTGCAGCATGATTACTCGTTCTTTTTGTGTAATTAATACATCAAGTTTTGAGAAAACAGAATAACTTTTGCGTGTTTTTTTTGGCATTTTGATAAGATAATACAGTAATATTAACGTAATTGTTTGATACATAAAAGGTCGAATTTTGCTAATATTTTTTAGCAACATCCACAATTGACCGCTGACTGCGTATTTATATAAAGTTCTGTTTTACTTGGAATATGAACATACTTTTATTATTAAATTTGTGACAGTCAACAAACAACACGCTTATTATATTTCCAAGGTTTTTATGAGATTCTTTGTACGTGATGACTTACAAAATCTCAATTGCACGTACACAAATCATAGAACGCTTCTGGTTACTGCAATTACTTATATACTTTACGTAATGATTTAATAGTGCCGATGAGAGTTGGCGATCCTATCGTGAATAAGTACCTCTCACTATAATAAGGGTGGGGTGCTTATGCATCCTCGCACCAATGAAATGGCTAACCTATCCTATTGTATGCTTCTTATGTGCTCTAAACGGTAATTAATGAGTGTAAACGATCTCACATATCTAGAGATGTTGGAAACATGTTACTAACCGTTTAGTAAAATATCAACAGCACAGTCAAGACTGCTTTAATTCAGACGTTTGTATACAAGTCAATGTCCGCATCGAAAAGTTGAGATTAGCCAGGGGCGAATAACTATCGGAATTAAACTACTAATCGTACGGCACAAGGTTTTAGTTTAAATAATACCAAGACAAAGTGAAGTGTTGTTATATTCAACTTCGTTTGCAAATAGCTAAACTCAGGAGCATACTGAGTAATTTTTAAAACAATCGTTATTACATGGCTAATCAACATCAAGGATTCTAAGGTCAGCGATGATTGCTTTTCCGCAGCTGTTAACTCAACACAAGTTAAGCATAGACGTTATAAAGCTGTAACAGGTCAAATCTAGCATGCAAAAAACTTTATTTGCTGATGCTTGATTAGTTTGTTAGACATGGAATAATATTTCAATTGTCGAAAGTCCAAATTTACAGCGTAAAAGTTATTACTGTATTTCCCTGACTAAAATTTTCCTTGAGCAAAATGCCCTCAGAAATTTTGGGCCTGGTTTGTCCGAATATATAAACGAATATAAAACTACAGCTATCAGCTTCTCTCGACATACCATGAACGACGCACCTTATTGTATAAAGCGATGTGTATTGCTAATTTTTGTGTTATGTTCGTGTAATAGACATAGCGTGTAAATCTAGCAACAATTTATGAAAATTTACATTAATATTAATATACACATACTCTCGTCCCATCAAAGTACTCACCTTATTCAAAATGCTTTCCCGAATTAAGTATCCGGGTGCTATATTAACATATTAAAGTAGTCAGGGTAATTTAAAGAAATACAGTATTGTTCATTATAATTACGAATGCAAAACCCAAGCTTGATATTATTAAACAATAACCATTCAACTCTGATTACGTCTTGGAGATTATAGCGGTGTATTGATATCATCTTTTCGTGCATCTATTTTAAGGATAATCGTGCCGCGATTGTCATTCCCACATCTAAGAATACACTTCTATATTTATCAGCGCTTTGGATTGACATCTTCTTTTGTGTATCGATTTTAAAGCATATTATTAACAATAAAGTCTTAACATTTGTTTACTTACATAGAAAATGCTGTTGGGTAAAACTATAGGCAATTACTATAACAGGCCGAAAAGACAAATCGTTATTGTTGTAATTTTTAATATAAAGTATCGCCTGCTTGCGAAACTTTTTCATGCTTAAAAAAATGTCAACATTAAGGTTGGTATAAACGATAGATAAAGAGTCAAAGAAAGTCCTTTTAACTAACTTTGATATTTACTCGGTACTTGTAGAAGATTAATACAAACCATAGTTTTGAAGCGAAAAAGAAGAATCGAGGTTGTATTGAAGGAGTTTAATCTTCTTAGTGTAAGTTTTTATACAGTAATAGTACATAGTATTGCATGGCATGGAAGTTTATTTATTATCTACACTTTCTTTTCTTTTCTTTTCTTTTTTGCATAACAAACTCGGACGGCAAACAAAATTTCTTAGCACAACCTGCCTCGGACATACTTTCGCGACATGTGCCATATAAATGAAGCCTCCACGAAACACGTGCAACAATGTATAGACGGTTTAAAGTATCGCCCGCACATAGTGAACGACCCAAAAACGGTTGAGTCTGGTGACGAAAAAAATCTAACACTAAAGCTACACGAAACTGACTGGGCTCCCAACGAGCTGTTGGCCTTGGGGGCCATATTCACACGAAATAACAAATCGTTTGTTTTTGTTAACAAACATGAAAAAAAAGCAACATTTCCGTATATTGTAGATGAAAAAATGCTTAAAAAGCTTATGAAAAAACAAAAGTAAGAAAAATTTTATTTCCCAAAGTAAATTGCCGAGTTTACAACCATTTCTTCTTGTCCGTACATATACATTTCTCAATCTTGCTATTCCGTACGTGTCAAATACAAACGCTTTACTTTACCATATTTGCTCACTGTTTATCAAAGGATTGCATTAAACCCCCCGGTTTGCGATACCTTATCAAAATCACGGGTTACATATCGTTTGCAATAGTTGATCGCTAGTATAATACTTTTTATTGTATTCGATAACATTATCTCAATCAGACAGCGGCTTTGTTTATAGCTTCCGATTAATGGAAGCAAGGCATTCCGAATTGCAGCATTACAAGGTCGGCAATTACCTTGTACAAATTAGAAAATATTGATGTAATGCAAAGGTTCGAATAGCAATAAGATGACAGGACAGTTACAGTATATTAGATTGTTACAAAGGGTATATCATACTTGACGTTATGTAATTATAAACATTTAACAGTATTTATGTTATGAGCATTTTTCTCTAGCTGAGAGATGGGCCCCATCCGTATTTTGCGATTATAATTACGAAATAAACAACATTTTTCCTGGAATAGTGTGTTTAAATTGTATTAGTATATTAATGTGAGTGTGGACGAACAACGACTTTAACGATATTTTGTAGAACTGTGAACTGAAATTAGAATATCTTGCATAATTGAATTGCACGTTGATGCATTACTTCCTAAACTTTAAGATAAAATTGCTTCTTTAGAAATTGTTTGCGAAGTTGAGAAATTATTATTGTTGCTTGTATATTGGTCACCAAATTTAGTATTTGCATGCTAGCAATCGTGAATCAGCACGTCACGGTGAAAGAACTTAATAAGGGGCCTAAAAGATGAACAATGTGCGTCCGCTAAAGAACTGTTGGATACATAATATTGTAATTGTTTCAGACGTTTAATAGAAAGGCGTAACTATTAAAAGAGCCTTGGACCAAAACAACTGTAGCCATCTATTTATATCATGGTTTAGATTCAAACAACGACAATAACCTGTCATTATAAGGATCTCCTTAACATGCACCCCTGAGTGAACGATTAACAGAGCACCCGGGGGAGTACGATTATTTGCGTACACCCAGAAGTGTAACTTATTCTGTACGCCACCGGTATAAGTTACTACAACAATTACCCACAGCCTCCTGGCGTAGTTCTTTGAGCGATAAATAGATTAAGATTTATCATTAGACACATGACCTGCGAACGTTGGTGGTAGCTCCTCGTCATCAAAATTTACGGACACGTGCAGAAATAGCTAACATCGTTGCAGACACATTATGCATATCAGAAAATTTGTTTGAAGGCTTGAAAAGAAAATGTTTTCTGTTCCTCGCCAGTTTGCGTCTCATACTAATGCACTACGATATCGGTATTTCAGAAAAGAGTCAGTTTACTTCGTTATACGAAAATGCCTTTCCACCAGTGATAGTACTATAACACAAGACCATACGACTAATCTCAATAAATCGAACGCATTTAACTTGATGGAAGCAAACGATAAAGCGGTATCAGTGTTAAGAAACTATCAGGCGGAGGCTTATAACCATTTAGGGCAAAGTTATGAGGAATATATAAACGATTTGACGGCAGAGATAATTAAACTTACAAAAGAGCTGGAAAAGAAAAATAAATTTATACAATATTTGGAATCAACGAAGGAGCAATATAGAAAATTTATAGACAAAGAAGGATTCTTTCAAATGCCGATACACGTACCTGAAGTACGTGTTAAAGATTTGCAGGAAACATCAAGATCTTTCAGACTTGGAAGAATTCGCAATGTTAGATCTGCCTTGGAATATGTTAGAAGACGAGTAAGACCAAAATTTATATGTCTAATTATCACTTTTTGCTTTTATTTACAAGTTTTTTGCTTTTATAGATGCTTTTGAAGGAGGGTAAGCTTTTCAAATCAGTCGAACCTGTTGATAGTGTGCTACAGCGATTGTCTGAAGAAAAGAGGTTCAAAGATATGTTGTATCATTCATGCAAGGCTCATCGCATACATATAAAACTTGTAAAAAATTGTTTTGGTAATCTCTATCATATTTCATGTAAAGGAAAGCATGGTCACAGACGTAATATCGTGCTTTATGCAAAATATTGGAGAAAGGAGGAGCTGTTGGCTTTGAGTGTTATATTCGACTATTTTAATATTAAATTTACTTATTGGAATAGAGCAGGAAAGGAGACAAGCTTTCCGTATTTACCCCTTACACCAACTAGTAAAGGCTTTTGTGAGGGTGTGTAATAAATATTGGGCTAGTTATACCTAAGACTTTGATAATAATAAGCACAAAAATATAATAATGAAAAAATTTTGACTTTTTTTTTATTATTCAAACCATTTATGCATTATAAAGTTGCAACTTGTCACATGTAAGATTTGTATTGCAAGTGATGCAGATTCATCCACATACTCAAAACAATGCTGACAAAGGGTTAGTTCTATAGATTAATAATCTCAATACTTTGCAAACATTACAGCAAGAAACATTTAATTTTAGTCAATAAAGTTGAATCTGCTGAATTTTATTATTAACTGAAGGGAATTAACTTGAAAAATTTATCTGACTAATTTCAATTAATATTGCTGCACTGTTTGTTATTAAGATGGCAATTTGAATTACATTTAAGCATAGCTTATGACAATCACATGAGCAGTTAGTCTTACTATTGCAATTAATACTTACTAAATTAGTCAAGCTTTGATTTGAGACTGCTTTGTGTAGAGTTTACTGATTTTTTTAGGTATAGTAAGCTCTGCATATAGCATAGTGAATACCAGATTCAATTTTTTCAAGATTTACCACTGCATATTTGATGCTTAATATACCTGAAGAGCATCCCAACTGACCATTTTCAAAAACTTGAATAATTCTGCAAGGTAGTTTAGTACAATCAAACTTATTCCTATCCATACATGGTATATCAAAGAAAGACCAGGTCACTCTTTGCTGATATTTTCAAATGCTTATGAAATTTTGCATAGTCATCTCAGAAGTTTGAATAAGGTGATATATTTGTGACAGGAAGACCAACAAGGAGGGTGAAATGAGAGATTTTCCAAAGTAAGTCTTGAACTTTATGAGGGTAATGAGAATAATGAATTTCTTTCCAGGAGGAGTGGGGGAAAAAGGAGGAGAGAAAGTTATCAGGAGACGAGAGGGTGGAATTGTTAAAATGGATCAAAGTTTAGGGAGTGTTGGGGAGGAGAGAATAATAGATGGAGAGAGATTTTCAAGGAGTTTTGAGGAATTAAGGAATGATTTGAGAGATTCAATAGGATGTTTCATGCCTTGTTTAAGAATTAAACAGGATGGAAGGGACTTATGTATATGATAGTGGTCAAGGCAGTATTGGTTAAGCATAGATGTCCAAAAAAGGGGATTAGGATTAAATGTTTGTGATATAAGTTTTGCATGTCTTATTCTTAGTTCTAGTTTAAAATGTATTCACATGTCATTAATGTGAGATTGTATCATGTATTGATTACACAAGCAGTCCTAAAACGGCTAATTTTCCATATATGGTATCATCCATTCCAGGAAGAGTGCGCTCTCACCAGTTCATCGAGCCAATCGAATTTGGAAATTGCAAATATAAATTTGGCAATATATAGCAAAAAAGAGTAATACCATCTAGCCATCTGATGGCTTGATGGATCGTCTTACCCCCCGACGGCTCGATACCAAATTGTGATAGAGGACAGTGAATAAACTTTGTGTGATTGGCGAGTGTAATTTTTGATTATTACCGTTTTCGTAATATAGCCGCTGAGCGCTGTCTAGCCAACGATAAACTGATTTCCAAATTCGATTGGCTCGATGAACTGGTGAGAGCGCCCAGACAGTTCATCCCCCCTTCACTAAGTCCATCATCCTGACTATTTTGGTAACTGAAATTTTGTATTACCAAATATGGTAAAGACAAAAGCTAGTGAGGCCATAGTTGTCATGGGACTGCCTTTTTTGAATTTGCCCAATAAAATATTATGGCTTGTGTGGCTTGTAGTCATGGGTCTGCTGAATTTTTTTGGCACCACCAAGTTACCAAAAAATTTTTTCCTCTACTAGTACATTAGTTAGCATTACTGTGCCTTTTATAGAATGAAAGAATACTTAAACCATTTTTCTCACTAACAATGTCTAGTTACTAGTTCCAACAATTCTAACTCTAGTACTAGTGCCCCAATGGATACTGACCCCTTCATCCCTGGAAATACTAAAGACCCCAAGTTTCAGAGGGTCTTTGAAACCTTTTCCTGGGATATTAATATTTGATGATGCTTTTTATCAATCTAGCACTGCATAAGAATCAAAACTAAAAGTCAGAATACACTCTTACGAGTCTATAGCTTCATAATCCACCGCGATCCACGCAACATTGCAAAGTAGTTTCTTCTCAATTTATGTTTTAAAACTACGCTCTGTTTCATATTACACAACGACTGTTATAATGAGTTCGAAATCAGAAGCAAAAGCCCTACCTTGTATATTCAAAAACTCTCTTTCCACGGAATATGGTAGTCAATTAATGCAACGCGAAACTAAAGAGAATCAACGATGGAGACATGCATCAGCTACTGCTGCAGTGGGAAAACTAACGGAAATGGCCAAGTATTTTCCTGCATTATGTTTATTGCTTGATTTATGATTCTCTAGAGAATTACTCTTTATGCGAAAAGCACTACAACCATATTATCGCCAGAAAGTATTTTATTGAACAATTAACTAAACAGGATATTGCAAGTCTTTTAAATACAGAAGAAGTAGAAGTAGAGAAAATTTACTGATGATCGTGATCTCTCTGAAAAAAGTTTTTCCGATTTCGGAGCTCAAGTATGTTCGCCGGATCCAGCGCATGAAATGCTTCTGAAAAGCATTGACGAGTTGGTGAACATTAATAGACGATTACTATCAGAAAATGAAGTACTATGAAGACAGTTCGTTTTAATAGGCGTTGCCTGTTTTGTGCCTTGACGTTTACTAAATCCGCAGAACCCAGCACGATACCCTTTCGATCATGAAGTGCGTTATTTCATTTAGTTTGTTTTTATATGAACAATACAGATTTTAATATGAATTGATAAATGTTTAGGGCAACCCATGGCCAACCATCATTGTTGAGGTTGCTTCCTCAGAAACACTCGACCATGTCAGGGAGAAGAGATGTGTTCAAACTCGGAAAAACGTCGTGATCGAAACAGAAATCCCTTGCGCCCGTTTACTGGTTCAATACCCTTTACGATCTGACAATAAGTGACACTTTCCTCCTCAAAACCCCTTCAACCAGCAACATCGTCTATTCCACTTCAATCAACAGCTCTATCTCGAACACTATCTGCTACACAGGCGCAACCGTCATCAACTACACGCCCGACAATGCCACCTATTACATTTCAGGTGCAACTACCATTTACTACTGCTAAAATACTCTGCAAAAGCATGAGTCATTGTAATTGTGGGTCTTCTCAAACACAGGGACAAAAAAAACCTAAACCCCCACCGAACAGTTAACTTTTCCTTTTTGGGCGGCTGGACAAAATACTGACCAGCAGGAAAGTTAGAACGTGAGGCCGAACACCAAACGGCGCGGCTATCTTCTGCTACTCTTCGAACTCAACCAGCATTTACTGCGCAGACGATACCACCACTTGCTACCATTCAGCTATCATCTAATGCACTTCAGACAAAAGCACACTTTACACCTCAATCAGAATTATCGTATGCTCCGCCACCGATACGGCAATCATTCAATATATGCCATTATCCGCTTCGTCTCATCTACCAGCGCTACTATCTATGCTTCATCATCTCCCACGTGCAAAAACTCACGCTCTCCGCAAATATGCCTAGTATGTGTGGCACGTATTTCGGAATTTGTCCATAGCCAGAAAGAAGAGTCACTGTAACGTAAGTTTACTGGACATAAAACGCGCTTTTGTGATATACTGTTAAGCTAACTAAATTCTATCCTTTATAAAGAAGCGCGGCATATGTGTTCATCGATAATACGACCGTGCTGCAGTTCGCCAATAGTGATAGTGAGAAGAAGAAACTCGTAGACGAGTCACATAATAACCAACTAAATATGACCGATCGTCGGAAGGAAAAGGTGTGTTTCCACCTAAGTCAATATGTGACAAGATTTTCTTTAATTATCATCATTATACAATGCTAATTATAATATTTTATATTTGTGTTCAGCAGTCCCTCCTCCAGAACAAGCACAACATTTACCAACACTTGCAGAACGTTTATCAATAATTGTTAGAGTATTCATGAACCGCTGTTCATTATCAATCAGCATTTGAAGATATTCCATCGTCAGGACCTTCATCACCGACACCATCACTCCATCGCCGACACCATCACCAATTCCATCATCGTCGACTTCATTCTAGCTTACCCCAGGAATTTACCTACATGAAGAACGAATACGAGATTGCAGCCTGGGTCTCCGATCATAAACGCATACTGGACCTTGCTATCTCAATTCGAAAAGCGAAGAGACAGAGAATTGATGATGATAGCGAAGACGATAACGTTGGGAAGATGATTGGAAATAATAGGGTGGGCACGCTAGTCATATAACTAGTCAAAGTGGCTGTCAGTTAATTGTTCTTTATGCACAAAGCAAGCACGACAACCAAAATTTGCACTGTGTCTTTTGATACCTGCAAGATCATTTCCCTGCGGAAGATCTGTAGTAACACACCTAATCCTTGATCATAATACTGCGTTCACAAGCAGCCCAAAAAATTCATAAACATCACCCCCGAAAGGCACAAACCCAAGTAAAAAATAATTCTTTAACTGTTTTCTTAGTTTAAATGGCATGTTTCCAATTGTAAATAGACACCCCAAGAGTGTGATAAACATTGCGATACGTTCCAAAGTCATCCAAGTAAATGTCAAGGAAAAATTTCCTTATTGGCACATTTGGCGGCGGAGGATGTTGTACGTCAATAATATGTTCATTTGGTAGTTTATGCCTCTTAAATATTCCCCGTATTTTCCAAGAGTAGTTGAAACGATATAGAATTTCATTTACAATGAAATTATATTCTGTAGGTTCTGGGTTATCGCTTAGCCAAACGCTTGTTTCACGCACATCTTCTTTTCTTAGTATTAAGGGGAAACCTTCGACTAACCATAATGCCTTATTTTGAACATTTTCTCGTGCTGCGCTATGTAAGTGTCCTGGTATTCTCGAATATCTGACTAGTTCATCAACTTTGAAGCAGAATTCCTCGTTAAACGTCACAATAGATCTGATGCGGGCCACAAAATTTTGAGATCGTGATTCTACTTGTCGTTGACAAGTTATGAAGCTACCCGCATGATAAATGACTAATTAAGAAAAAGTTAAGTTAGACAGTTTTCATAATCTCCAATAAAATAATCGAGTATTTATTTTGCTGTATTTCTTGACTCTGTAATAGGATATTAATTTTTCAAGGCTATGCAGACCACGATAAAAGCAGTAGATAAATACTCGATTATCCCTGCAAGTAAACATATAAAAATAATAACCTCCGTTGATATCTAAAGTATCCTGTCCAAATAGTGGAGACTCCTTCCAAGTTTTTCCATGCCAAATTCAGTCTTTTCTACCGTTTCCGAAGTACATTTGAGAACAGAGTCGAGGGTTGTTCAGTATGCGTTCTATTGTTTCCCTCAATGAGATGGTATACGCATCTTTAGTTGGCATTGCAGTCGATGGCGTATTTTCGTTATTATTTTAATTTCATGGCTGCAAATTTTTGATAATGGCAACCTATTCCGCCACTGACGTAGGCGTCTTATGTTAGGCACAGTGTCATTTATCACAAAATCTTCGTGTTGAAGAATTTGCACAAGATCTTCATATGCTGCCGTTGCTAAATAACATTCGTATTAGTAAATTAAATTTAAAGGCATTTTAAAATAAACGGCAAAGCGCTATGATATGTACAAATCATGTGTTTGGTCACCCATATGAAAAGCATGGTAGCGGTAAAATTTGGAAAGTAAGGACCATGAGCTCCATTAAACGAGCCCATGTTTTGTGATGCTTCATCACAAGTTTTAGCATTCAGATCTTGCATATTAATATCATCATCATCCTCCTCCTCAGGGTATTGATCGAAAATTTTACTATTCAAACAATTAATATTATAAAATTAATCTACAGTCAGGCTACGGTTATTGAAATGTTAGTAAAGTAATGACATACCCATCGATTTCTAAATTGACACCACTGGATTCAGAAATGTCGGCTCTGGTGTAAATAATCATTTTAATAATATTTTCAACTTCAGTAAAAACAGTGACAAAAAATTCGTACTCTTTGCTGTACTCTTCACGCGGCCGCTGAGAAGCGTCATATTGATTGAAATAAAACACCTTTGATAATTTCAGAAAGTTAGATGAAGGGTATCATTAAAGATTAAGTCAGTCAAAAATTCAAGCCCTACGTCTTCATGTGATGCTTTTCGTGTAGGTTTTGTCTTTGGTTTTCTCAGTCTATATCTACAGAGATATCCCGAAGTTTCAAAATTTCCCATGCGCACTCTTGTCATCTCTCAGTAATAATAGTACGATAAAAACTTAGAAAAACTTGTTTATTGACCAAACGTATGTAATGCGCGTGCTTTTTTAAACTAATATTTTGTACAGCTTCATTGTTATTATCTCGCACTTGAATCTATTATCACCCAAATACATTATCAATCGAACAATACTATCGTTCGAGTATTTTATTGTTTGATTACTGCGGAGGAAGATTTACCATGTGACTTACTATCGACGTCAGCCGATCAGCTCGCCGTAACATCATTATTGCCTTTTTATTTCACACACGATTTATTTTAAATGAGGACTGTGCGACGAAGACATGCAGGAATGTATGACAACGATGATGATAGAATATGACTGATTATGACCGTGTATAAAATAAAATGTCGAAATAAAAAATAAGAAACGAAATAAGATGAGGGTAAAATGTATAAATATACACCTTCAAGCTTGGGTGGTGGGTGAGTATAGTCAAGTATCAAGTATATAGATATAAATTCCCCGAAAGATCTACACAAAAAATTGCGATAAATGGGTATTTGTTGTTTAATGCGAAAAATAATTTAGCAAGTGAAGAACACAAAGAACGAATGATTATCAAGAATATGTCATAAACGGTAAGTTCATGCAGCAAATGTTGACGATGGAGATGTACTTTATGTTAATTACAGGAAAATCCCATACACTAAACTATACAGTCAAATACTGTTAACTCGTATCATTGTCATCCTTTTGACAATATATTCTTGCTCTTTTGAGCATTATATGAATAATCATATTTTACGCAAAGTTGATGCCATTTTATCTAATTTGGGCCCATATAAAAAAAGATCAACTCCTGTATGTCATAGAGATCAATCGCAACCCCCGGTACAGAAAGAGGAACAGGGGTTTGAGGAGGAAATGGTAAGGAAGAAATCACTGCTTGAAGATGAGGGAGGGGGGGAACGCAACCGGCGTAAATACAATCACGGTCAATTGTAACCCATCTCATATGCTGTCTTGAACAAAAATTACCGGGCCTCCCATTACGATAAATGGATCCAAATTCGATCTGGAAATATTGAATAATATTACGTCCAATGAGTGAAAAAACCAATTGCAAAACACACCAATGCTTACCTCTTGAACCGGTTCGAATGTTGTTGCATTAGGGTTTTGCTGGAGGGTCGCACGGCGACAGAATTTCTGGCACTATTAAAATACAAGAGAACGATTAGGCGAATGAAACGAGAGAAGAAAAGTTGTAAGATCGTAAAGAGTATTGAACCAGTAAACGGCGCAAGGGATTTCCGTTTCGATCATGACGTTTTTCCTTCCAACTTCCGAGTTTGATCACAATCACATCCTCAGCACGGTTAGGGGCCAGCCAATAGTTATTAATCTTCTCCCTTACATGTTCGAGTGTTTCTGAGAAAGCAACCTCAACAATGATAGTTGGCCATGGGGTGCCCTAAACATTTATCAATTTATATTTAGATCTGTATTGTTTATATAAAACAAACTAAGTGAAATAGCGCACTTCATGATCGCAAGGGTATCGTGTTGGGTTCTGCGGATTTAGTAAACGTCGAGGCATAAAACAGGTATCTGGTTCTTCATATTTATTTGTTTGGAGGTTTGTATATAAACCTGGATGCCACAGAATTAGGTTCAGTATAACAAGATATTGCACAACTATTACTTGAAAAAACTTACTTTTCGAACCCAAATCATCGACACGATCTTGACGTGAGGCATTACGGAAGGCCTCCATAAACATGTAACCGAATTTCCTGGCCGTGCCTTCATGTCCACTAGTTGGCAACTCGATAATCGTGACAGTTCCATTACTAAAGTCCCAAAACCTCCTTGCCTTGGCCTTTTCAGCTCTTTTGGCAAATAATTTCCATGTGACGCCTGTTGCTACTACTATGGGAAGTCTAATAGGATAATTAAGTTAGAATAGGGAAACTGAAGCAAATGTGATAAGTGGGCTTACTTTTCGTTATCGATTGGTTTTAAGGTGCGCTCGAGCCACCATTTTGTTGCATTTTTTTCGGCGCTGTCCGCCTGAGTGGTCGTGATATAATAGGTTGCAGGACGGGTGCCAAATCTAAGTAAACAGACATTTTTAGGAACAGGTTCACAGAGGCAGTCATTAAAATACCTTTGACAAAATCATCCTGACTGAATGAGCTGATCGATAGATCGGCAAGTACCCCAAATTTAGGGTATGTCTAAAGCGGAGCAGATTCCTCGCAATTCCATTGGTCAAATTTGTATGGTAGCCAATAAAACTGCAAATACAGGATCACGTTCTGCTCCGCTTTAGTCTTTCCCCAATTTTGGGGTCTTTATTAAGAAATTTTAGGACCTTCGACGGGATTTACATGGTTACGGGATTTACATACGACAAATATACTCTGAGCTTATTTCGATTTGGGCCAACCCGAAACGCGATCGCGATTTGGGTCAGAACATTGTTATTATTATTATTATTATTATTATTATTATTATTATTATTATTATTATTATTATTATTATTATTATTATTAT